AGCTGCTTTGCATGCTGGATTCTTAAGTACCACCAGGCATTTCTATCTGCCATGAAGCCAAATCCACCTTTATGTGTTATCATCCTTAATTAGAACGTGAACTCCCTGAGAGTAGGGGCTTTTATTTGTATCCTCAGTGTTTGGCTCATAGGAAGTGCTTAATAAATGTTTTCCCATTCCATGACACCCAGTCTTTGCTTAGAGACCTCCAGTAAGGGAAAACTCTGCCGCCTCCTGGGGCAGCCCATTCCTCTTTTGAATAGCTCTTTTTGTTAGGAAATTTTTCCTTATGAGAACCTTAAATTTACCTCTTTGCCAAGTCTACCCATTATTAGTTGTGCTGTCTGACACAAAGCAGAACAAATCTAATCCTATAGGACAGCTTTTTAACTACTTGAAGACAACTATGATATGTCATTATTAAGTCTCTTATTTCTTAGGTCAAACATCTCCAGTCTTTTCAGTTTATCTTTATGGTCTCAAGGCATCAAGCCTAGTTGCCTTCATTTGCACACTCTCTAGCTTATTAATACTCCTCCTAAAATGTGATGCCCTGAACAACATATTATTCCAGATGTAGTCTGATTGGGGGTAGAGTACAGTAAGACAGACTTCTTTGTTCTTGGAAGCTTTTTCTTATGTAGTCAAAGATTGCATTAGCTTTCTTGGCTGCCGTATCGTACTGTTGACTTATATTAGTCTGCTAAAATTGCCAGTTTTTTTTTTCAGACAAACTGCTGTCTAGCTATACCTCCCCATCTTGTACTTGTCTTTTTTTTTTAACTCAAGTATATAACTTTTACATTTATCCCCATTAAATTGTATCTTACTAGATGTGATCTAATGTTCTAATTTTCAGGATCTTTTTGAATCATTACTCTGTCATCTACTGTGTTACGTTTCCTCATCTGTATTTTCATCATCTGTAAATGTAATAATCATGCCATCTATACTTTATGTCCAAGTCTTTTATAAAAATGTTAAACAGCACAGGGCCAAGCACAGATCCCTAGAACATTCTACTGAAAACCTTCCAAGTAGACATGAACCATTAATGAATATTCTGGCAAATAGTTAATGAAACCCATCTTATTCTTCTTGGTAGAAGGACAGGAGACTATGAAGGCAAAATGTTGCATGCATTGTCAGACACAGTAACTTCATAGATTTTTTTTGCATAGCTGTTTTTCTTTATTATAAGGGAAGGTTCAGATTTGCTGGGGAGGAACTGGTTCAGTCGTTCAACCATTTTCCAAATCCCCCCAATTGTATTCTATTGTGTGTCTATTCCACAATTCTCCATGTTTTCTACAAGAGTAGTAGGAGAGACTTTGTCAAATGTTTTGCTAAAATCTAGCTTAACTTTACAACATTCCTTAGTAACCCTATCAAAAAATAAAAATAAGAGTAGCTTCATATTACTTGTTCTTGATGAAGCTATGCTGGTTCTCAGTGATCTTCCTTTTTTTTTTGAAGCTGTTCACTATGTCTTTTAATAGTATATTCTAGAATTTTGCCTGGAATCAAATGAAGTTAAACTTATCTAGCATGTGCAGACTCTAGTCTTGTCTCCTTTTTTTGGAAATTTTACCCTTTTACAGTGCTTCGGTATTTCTCCCTTTCTCCATCTTGGGGGAAAAGTTTATATTTATGCTTTTTGTTTTTACCTTACAATCATTTATTGATACTGCCCTTTCTCATAAAAAAGAATACCAATTAAGCAAAAGTAACTATACAGTTATTGTGTCTGACAATGTATACAGCATTCAGCATTCAAAATCCCCCTGCCTTTCAACCAATACGAGGGAGGCATATTTTCTTACCTGTTTTCCAGGACCATGATTGGTTTTTCAGTTTCCCACAGCCTTTCCAATACCAATTTCATACCCGTAATCTTTTAAAGATCAATGATAGTAGCTTAGTTATACTTGTCAGTTCTTTCTTTATAAAAAATTTTTTTTCAATCAGCAAAAATTTGTCCCTCTCCCTTCCAGTTAAGTAAGAAAGAAAAACATAAACCCTATTGCAAATATGTATAGTCCAGCAAAGTAAATTCCCTCATTGGCCATGTCAATTAAAAAAAAAAAGTTTCATTCTGCTGAGTCCTTCACCTCTCTGTCAGTAGGTGGATTGTTTGTTTCATAACCAGTCTTCCTTCCCTTCTTTCTTCCCTTTCCCTCCCCTTCCTTCCCTTTTTATTGAGGCATTGGCTTGGGGGAGAATTTGTTTACCTATTTCACCTAAGCTGGAAGCACAAGAGCCTCTTATGGGCCCAGTCCCACTACTGATTAGCTTTGAGGCTTTGACCTGCTTTGTTTCGGACCTGGGCTAGTCTCTGTCACCTTCCCCCTCCCCAAGGCAGCATGATGGCACTGTGCCCCTGGGACTCACCATAATGGTGTTGAGCTTAGTGCGTTCACCTGATTGACTTTTACACCCTTCTGAAGTTTTGAATTCAATTGATCTATTGGCTTTGTCCTCCCTGGTGGTAGTGATTATAGGTGTGTGCCACCATGACCAGCCACCCTTCTAACAAAGTGAGCAAAACAAATTGACCATTTCTGACGAACCTTTGCCTCATTCTTCAGTTATAGTCCATTCTCACTTCTTTGTTGAAAAGAGGTGGATATGTCAGATCATCAGTCTTCTGGAATTAAGCTTGGTCATTTCATTAAAATGGGATTCCCAGAACTGCCAGGGGCCTTCAAGGTGTGGTATGAATGTAGACACTGTGCTTCTTTGAACTTGGCAGAAGACCACCTTGGCTATTTGTTACCAAAACATCTAAGTCTTTATTTTTTCCACCTCCCATCTCCTGCCTTTGCGAAGGCTAAGCGCTCCTGAAATATTTTCTCTCCTTAGTTCTGCCTCTTGGATCTCCCTTCAAGGCTTAGCTTGTGTCACCATCTGTAGTAAGTCTTTCTTGATTCCTTTGATTTTTAGTGTTTCCTTTCCTGAAATTATTTTACATTTATATTTGTGTATTTTATATATATTTTACATTCAAATAATTGAAATTGTTTTACATTTATACACTTCTTGGTATATCTGTTCTACTTTCTCCTTTCCATCCCCACCTCCACATCCTGTTAAATTTCTTGAGGGCAGGGACTTTTTTTTTGCCTTGTTATGCACAGTGCCTAGCACAGAATAGGGACTTAAGAAATGTTTGTTGGATTTGTTTGAATAGAATTTTTCATATTGATACTAAGCCTGGACTCTCCTTCTTTATTTATAGAGGCACCATTGTAACCCCACTTAGAATTCCAGAGTTGTTATCAGGAAGACCAGGGCTCAAATCTTTTCTTTGCCACTACTATGTGTGATCCTGGGCAATTCACTTAACTTTTACGTATCTCAGGGAACTCCCAGGCTTATCAATAAAAGATAGTTAAGATCTGGGATCTGCCTGGATAGGAGTTTCCATGATCAGAGTCTCTGTCACTGACAAAAATCAGATTCTTTGCATGTGTCATGTACTGTATTGATTCTTATAGCATTCAAGATTTCCTTGAATCCCGAGTCTGTTAATAATCCACATATAGGAAAGGTGACTAAAAAGAGATATAAAAATAATCTTTAAGAAGATTTACTACCCCACTAAATTTTAAATAATCTGAAAATTTTATTAGTTTTCAATCTAAGTATTTATCCACATTATTGATTAAAATGTTGATAGGACAGGGTCACAGCCAGAACTTTGTGATGCTACTAAAGAATTCTTTCTAGATTGTTATCAAGCCCTTAGCTTATGCTTTGTGGTAGTAATTGTTTGACCACATAATTCTGTCATCCAAATCAAATTTTTTTCCTTGTTTGTGAGGCTATCATGAAAGACTCTCAGATATCTTGTTGAAATACCTTTTAACATTCCCCAGCCTACTAGTCTAATAACCCTATCGAATAAGGACATGAGGTTTAATGAGTATGATTCATTCTTCCTGAACACATTCTAATGTTATCCCTGCTTCCTTTTCTATGTGCTCAAAATTTGTTTAATAGTCTATTCTAAATAGTCTAATATTCTAAATAATCTATTCTAAAATTTTATCCAATATTAACATCAAAGTCACTGGTCTAGATTTTGAGGGACCCATTTTTTTTTTTTTGAAAATTGTAACATTTGACTAACTTTAATCTTTGGGTTCTTCTCTTTTTGTCCGCCTCTCTTAATTCCTTGAAGAGTATGTGACTGAAGACATATTGTCAGGATTTTTTTTAGTGCTCTGGGTTGGGAAAGTTCAACATTTATCTTTTGTATTTAAATTTACTTAAAACAGCTAAGAGTTCTCATACCACCTCCTCACCCATTTTGGGGTTCAGTTCCTTCTCACTTGTGTGTTCTCTTCCCTCCTACCCCCAGGTTTGAAGTTTATTCTCCTTGATTGGAGACAAATAGTGGACCAGGACTTCAGGAGTTCTGCTTTCTGTCTGTCATTTGTTAAAATGGTGTCTTCCCCCCAGGACAGCGTCCTGTCCTTTCTTTGTTCTTATTCTAAACCTCTAAATGTAGCTTTAAAAAAAAGTTTCATTTTGTTCTTGCCTTTTTTTTTTTTTTTGCCTGATTCAACTTATTCTGGTCTTTAGCCTTTCTGACACTATTTCTATGCGATTCTGTCACTCTTTATAGTTGTCTTAGTGCCTTTTCTTCCATTTTTTTTTTGGTATATCAAAAATTTAAACGTATGAGATGATGTCCTTTGTAATTATATAAGCTCTTCAGGTGTCTCTTCTCTTTCTTCTTTAATGTTATGATAAAAGGATTTCAAAGTAGGTTTATTTTCCTCCTTATTCCCAAATGTTAGGTACAACTTGTGGAGCTAAATGTCAATCTGTTATCAGTTTCAACCTGAGTTTTGTTAAGAACCTAACTAATTTGTCACTGATGTAGAAAGTGAAGATATATTAAAGGGAAGCTATTATTTTTCAAGGTTCCCATTGGATTCAGAGACTGTAAGAGAGAGTTTAATTTTTAACCTTATTTTCTTATTACCTTCTAGGCTCCTCACTACAGCACAATGTCTGATCCCTGTGTTAAGCAGAAGTGAACCTGAGTGAAAGGGGGGAGGTTCCCCTTACCATCACAGACAGAATGACCAAGATGAGACTCTTGAGACTTTGGATTGTCCTGGGATCTGTCTTTATGATCCTTTTGATTATTGTTTACTGGGACAATGTGGGTACAGCGCACTTCTACTTGCACACTTCATTTTCCAGACCTCATCCTCCAGGGGCCCTCCCCACCACTGGAAAGGATGAAGAGAGAGAATTTATATCAGACGTAGATGAATTTCTAGATAAACTGCTTAGTTCTAGTGGGAGACAGAATGACCCTTTGAGAAAAAAGACTGAGCAGCCTCCTCTTCATGGCTCTAGTAAACCTATTTTGGGCAATATGGAAGAGAGTGTGAGAGGTTATGATTGGTCTACCCATGATGCTAAGCAGAACCCAGATCAGGAAAAACTCCAGGCAGAGAGGAGAAATATGTTGCGGGAATTTTGTGCCAACTCCAGCTTCGTCTTCCCTACCAAGAATCGTTCATTTGATGACATTCCCAATTATGAATTGAATCACCTAATTGTGGATGACCGCCATGGAATCATTTATTGCTATGTGCCAAAGGTGGCCTGCACCAATTGGAAACGAGTGATGATTGTTTTGAGTGAGAGCCTGTTGGATCAGGGAATCCCATATAAAGACCCTTTAGACATTCCCCGGGAGCATGTTCACAACACTAGTACTCATCTCACTTTCAATAAATTCTGGCGACGATATGGGAAATTTTCACGCCACCTCATGAAGATTAAGCTGAAGAAGTATACTAAATTTTTATTTGTTCGTGACCCCTTTGTGCGTCTCATCTCAGCCTTTCGGAGCAAGTTTGAGCTGGAGAATGATGAGTTCTACAGGAGATTTGCGGTTCCCATGCTGAAACTGTATTCTAACCACACTAGCCTGCCCACCTCTGTCAGTGAGGCCTTCAGTGCTGGACTGAAGGTCTCATTTCCTGACTTCATCCAGTACTTAATTGATCCACGGACAGAAAAGCTGGCACCCTTCAATGAGCATTGGAGACAGGTATACCGCCTGTGTCACCCTTGCCAGATTGACTATGACTTTGTGGGGAAGCTAGAGACCCTGGATGAAGATGCAGCTCAACTGCTGCAGCTTCTCAAAGTGGACAAACTCCTTCATTTTCCCCCTAGTTATAGGAACAGGACTGCTAGTAGCTGGGAGGAAGACTGGTTTGCCAAAATCCCTCTAGCCTGGAGACAACAGCTTTATAAACTTTATGAGGCTGACTTTGTTCTCTTTGGGTACCCCAAGCCTGAGAACCTACTTAAAGACTAAGCAACATGGGAAAAGCTCCCCTAAACCAAAAAACTTGTATTTTTATTTTAAAATAAAATTAAGGATCTTTAACATCGTGATTTTTTCCTACTGAAAACAGAACAATTAAGTATCATGGATATATACATACATATATATGTATATGTGTGTGTGTGTATGTATTCTTTTTCCCCCTACTGCGTTTCCCTTCCTGTTTGTACTTTTCTAGGGTGCTCCTACCAGTGGAGCCACTGAAAAATCTGAAATTGACTGCAAACAATCCAGTTTTTATTTTTTAATAACCTAGCACTTTGCAATCTAGACACATTCTTCACTCCATTGCCTATGTTCTTTGAGTTCCTCTGTTAATATTGTTTTTAAAATTAATATATTTCAGATATTTAATATGAAATATGGAAAAGGAAGTGATGGAGTAAAATATCACATCTGTTTTTTTGTTGCCTTTTGTGATTATTCTTCCAGCTAAGTAATGAATGCATATGTGCAAGCTTAAATATTTTTGTTGCTGAAACGGCCATAGGAAACCTAAGGTTAAAGTTTAGTTAGTTTTTATTAAGATTTCTAGAAAGTGGGGGGCAGCTAGGTGGCGCAGTGGATAGAGCACCAGCCCTGGATTCAGGAGGACCTGAGTTCAAATCTGGCCTCAGACACATAGCACTTACTAGCTGTGTGACCCTGGGCAAGTCACTTAACCCCAATTGCCTAAAAAAAAAAAAGATTTCTAGAAAGTGGAGAGCTAACCTTTTAGTCAAGATGTCACACCTGTATTTCCAAAATTAAAAAACCAACTCCATGGAAGGTGAACAGTTAACTTAAAATAGTATAAGTGGCTTATTTCACTAAAAAAAAAATTGAACTATGAAATTTGACCATTGAAGTATAAAAGTTATTAACAGGATTTTTGTCTCCTGGCCTATATTCCAATGCAAAACTTTGGTATATATTATTGTCTTTTTTGGAATAATATTTTTCCCAATTATATATAAAAACAAATTTTAATATTTTTTAAAAATTTTGACTTCCAAATCCTCTCCCTTCTTCCTTCCCTTCCATTCTTCCTGAGATGGTAAGTAATCTGATTGAAGTTATACATTGCAATCATGCAAAATATTTCCATGTTAGTCATGTGAAAAAAAAACAGACAACTCTCTCAAAAGAATATTATTGCTTTTTGATATAAAACAAGAAGGAATACATGCTAAAATTTAAAAAAATTTCACAAATAGGCATTCTCAGTTGGCAACAGTGGGAAAACTTACATGATAACTCTAGAAATTTTCTTTTTTCTATTAATTGATTGATCTCAGGCATTAAGTTTGATCTTTGATTTATTGATAATTAATATCGTTCCTACTCTGAAAGTCCTAAAGATTAAATTTTAAAAGAAAATTTTTTTAAACACAGGACTGAAAATTTCTTAGCTGCTTTAAAATTTTAGATTGTTAACTGACTAGAATTTTGCAGGTAGTAAAAATATAGTGTCTGATCTTTTGCATAGTCACCCCTGTGTTGGTTGATAATGTTGCTGAGTTTCTGAAAGCAGAGCCAGCTAGTAATTAGGATGTCAAAGTAAAGCATCATCATGTCTTGCTCTGTGTCTTTCTGTCTTAGGTATAAAACTCATTCTGTGGCCTTCAGAGTGGCTAATCCTGTTAAGCCCTAGCCTCGAAAGTGACCGTGAATGACACACTCACCTTATACTATCATTTCACTTCTTCTGTTCTTCCTGTCAGAGCTCATCTAGTAGATGGAGCACTGAAGCGAGTCAAGAAGACCTAGATGAGGCTTCCACCCGAGCTGCTTCAAAGCTGTCTGATCCTTGGTCTCAGATTCTGAAGTGGGAAAATGGGGATGTTAATAATAGCACCTAAATCATAGGATTGTTGTGAGGATCGGATGGATAATGTTTTAAAGCTGTTTACTAGCCTTAAAGTGCTATATAATTGTATGTTATAACTATTTTTAAAAGTAATGGTCTGACTTTCATCTTCAAATGAAATCTTCATCAAACTCATATTCTATTGGAGGGATAAATTTACTCTGGTGCATAAATACAATGTAATTTGAGGAGAGTCATGCAAGTAAGAGGAGAATCAGGAGAGAGCCGTGTCTTAAAAATTAAAGGAGAGTATCCAGGAGGCTGGAGTGTGGTCAACAGTGTTAGAGGGCACGGATGTCAAAAAAGGATGGGAACGGAGAAAAAGCCTCTGGGTTAGCAATTAAAGAGATTTCCAGTAACCTCGGAGCGAATAGTTTCAGTTGAGTGGTGGGATCAGAAGCCAGATTTTAGAGGGTTGAGACGTGAGGGAGAGTTGAAGAAGTGGAGGCAAAGAATACAGATGGCTTTTTGTAGAAGTTTAGTTGTGAAAGGGAAGAAAGAAGATGATGGTTTGAGGGATGTTATAGTCAAATGAAAGGGTTTTTTTTTTAAAGATAGGGAACACCTATGTTTGTAGGTAATGGAGGCAATAGTTAAGGAGAGATTGAAGATGAGGGGTGGTGATTGAAGGGGCAAGCTTCTAGAGAAGATTTGAAGGGTTTTGGGGTCTAGGTCTCAAAATAATTGAGTCTTCTGTTTGAATGTTAAATTGTCTGTTCAGTTCTTATATTTTCATCAGGAATGCTTGGAAGTCCTCTGCTTCATTAAATATCTATTTCCCCCCAGAAGGATTATACTCAGTTTTGCTGGGTAGGTTTCCTTGGTTGTAATCCTAGCTCCTTTGCCTTCTGGAGTATCATAATTAAAGTCCTCTACTGCTTTAAGAAGCAGCTAAATCTTGTATGATTCTGACTGTGGCTCCATGACATTTGAATGCTTTCTTTCTGGCTGCTTGCAACATATATTCCTCCTGACCTGGCAGCTCTGGAATTTGGCTGTACTATTCCTGGGAGTTTTCATTTTGGAATTTCTTTCAGGAGGTGAAATTTAAATAATAATGTAGGTGATGAATGGATTTTTTCAATTTTTAATTATAAGAATTAAATTATATATAAATATTTCTTTATTTTGTGTTCTAGTTCTGGGATATCAGGGTAGTTTTTCTTTGTAATTTCCTGAAATATGGTGTCTAGGCTCTTTTTTTGATCATGGCTTTCAGGTAGTCTAATAATTCTTAAATTATCTCTCCTCTGTTTTCCAGGTCAGTTGTTTTTCTGATGAGATATTTCATATTTTCTTCTATTTTTCATTCTTTTGACTTTATTTTATTGTTTCTTGAAGTCTCATGGAATCATTAGCTTCCACTTGCCCAATTATAATTTTTAAGAAATTATTTTGTACTTCTTTTTCCATTTGGTCATTTCTTTTTAAGGAGGACTTTTCTTCAGTGAATTTCTGCACCTCCTTTCCCATTTGGCCTATTCGGCTTTTAAAGGAGTTCTTTTCTTCAGTGAATTTTTGTGCCTCTTTACCATTAGGCCAATTCTGTTCTTTAAGTTGTTATTTTTTCAATATTTTCTGTGCTTCTTTTACCAATATGTTAATTCTCTTTTAATAATTTTCTTGCGTTATTCTTATTTCTTTTCTCAATTTTTTCTCTACCACTCATTGCTTTCTTTAACTCTTCCAGGAATTCTTGCAGGCATTGGGTCCAATTAGCATTTTCCTTTGAGGTTTTGCTTGTAGCTGTTTTCACATTGTTGTCTTCTTCTAAGTTTATATCTTGATCTTCCCTGATCCCGTAATAGCTTTTTATGGTCAAGTTTTTTTTTTTGTTTGTTTTTTTTTTTGTTTGCTCGTTTGCCCAGCCTTTTTCTTTACTTTGACCTTCATGTTAAAGTTAGGCTCTGTTCACCTAGGGGTGGAGAGGCACCATGCCAAGCTTCAGACTTCTTCATGCTGCTGTTTTCTGAGCTAGTTCTGGGGTTCTACAAGTTTTTGGTGCTTCCAAGGTGGTGTTATCCTGAGAGAGGTGTGGTCATTGCTCTCCTGGTCTGTGCTCTGGTTTTAATTCAGGAAGGCTCCCTGCTTCCCTGCAGCCACAAATACTCTTCTTGGCTCTCAAACTGTGACCAGGGCCCTTACTCCCTTGTGACCAATCACAAGTGCTCCTCTTTACCCTGGAACTGCAACCCAAAACTGCTTAGGGGCAATAGGGTTGCCAATAATACTAGCTTCAAGTACTTGCAAGGGGTCCCTTGTAATCTCTCACTGACTAGTTGTCCATCCCCTTTGCCATCTCTGGGCTGAGAGGTCCAGAAGCTGCTGCTGTTGCCATCACAACTGGTGCTCTTGCCATTTCAAGGCCTGTGCCCACCGCAGTGTTACAGACCTCTCCTCCAGACCTCCTTGGTTGTCTTCAGCTGGAAAACTTTCTCCCTGTGGCTTTTGGTTGGCTCTGCTGCTCCAAAGTTTCATTTGAGGTGTTATTTCGAAGTCATTTGAAGGGGAGTGTTGAGAGAGTTCATACGGGTCCCGGACTGTATGCCACCTTCGTGGCTCCCTTTGCATGTTTTCTCACAGGGTGCTCACCCTTCATTTTCCATCAGTTGACACAATGTATTCTTAAAATAGTGGAGGAATTTGTTCTTGTGCCTTTATACCTTTGTGATGGTGCCAGATCCCAAAGAATGCTCAAGTGGCTTTATCACCTCACCAAGTTTGAGTAAACTATGAATCTTGATGTCTGCTGCAAGTGAAATGAAGGCACACAGAGCTGTTAAGATTGACACCCTCCTTGGTGGGAAGAGAAGTTATCTGACATTTTGAATTTGAGGTGCGAGTGAGGCAGTGGATAGAGTACTGAATTTATGGTCAGAAGATGTGGCCTGAAGTTTTGTTTCTGATACATACTTCCTTTGGGACTGTATAATTCATTTAACCTGTCTAGGCCTCAGTTCCTCACCTGTAAAATGAGATTAAGCTAGATGATCTCTAAGGTCCCTTCCTGTTCTAATCCCATGTCCAGTGGGCAGTTAGAAATGTGGGACTAGAGTTCTGGGAGAGAGAGGTTGGAGGTAGAGATTTAGATTGAAGTCTTCTGCATAAAGGTGGCAATTTAAATAGAAACCGTGGCAGTTGATGAAGAAGGAGAAGAGGACTAAGGAAGAGCCTTGGGTGAAACCCATGTTTA